TCATTTGTGTGTTTGTTTTAGCTTTCTGGCTTTTTTTTTAACAAAACTTCAAACATCCTTTTAGCCAATGACAGCAAGGTTTGCAAATCAAAACCAAATCTGAGCATAGCACTACACTTGAGTGAGCTGTGCTAATCTAAGACGAGCTTCTGTTTCCTGCTTAGAGCTTCTCCCCCATGCTCTCGTTTGGCGCATGTACAGTACTGTGTGCTGACAGACACCTTTGAGACACAAATCAGTTAAAGAAGTGTGTGTGGTGGCAACTGCTCCAAGCTTGGTATTTCATGTGCTTATTGGGTACCTACTCATTGTTAGGAAGTAGCGTTTGGAGTCACGTGGGCTAGAGAGGAGTCCTACATTTGTGAATTAACATCCATAACAGAGTGGTCTTGGGTCCTTTTTGTGTGTTCCTATGATCAGACAAAAAAATGTAATCTGTTAATAAAAGTAATCCCCATAAGAAGTCATACAGTGCAAGCAGTGTGTGAGCAGAATTTTTTACGTAGCTAATATGTTGAACTGATAGAATCCTGCATAGTCCAACTCTGCAGTTTGCATAAAAGCAGCCCCTTAGAAGATGAGACCACAGGCTCTTTATCAGCAACTCAATGACTGACTTTCGCTTTCCTTACAGTAAGAGAATTGATAGAGAAGAGAATTTGCCATCAGTTCTCTCTCTCTACATTTTTCCAGTTTGGCCTCCACAAATTGTACAGCCTCACTTTCCTCTGCGTGGGAGAGTACAGACTGCTGCTGGAGGCAATGAGGAGAGATTAACATTCATCTGTTCTCTCCTCACTCTCTTTTCCATCCTGTGGGCATGGGAGACTTATGAATGTGCCACTCCTTGGGGGAGTGTTTCTACTCATTGCCCTGATGAGAAGACCACAGAGACACCGGTAAGATTGTGTGAGTTTCACGTTGCTGATTAAATGGGCACATGAAAAAGCTGAGTGCAGCGGCTCTGTAGAAGAGGTCAGAGAGGAAGATGGAAGGGCTGGCATAAGCCTTGGGTCGCTCACTTGCCAAGAGATCTCCTTTTCCAGAGTCCATGCACATTGAGGGCTTAACGCAAAGTCTGCCTCCTCACTTGGGTCTTTCATGAAAAGTGGTATGAGTTTATTTTGCAAGAGCTCTGTTTTGAGCAGAGATACTTACTACTTTGATTCTTACTCTGTGTTTTAATGTTGCGTTGATAGCCAGGAAATCTGATGGGGAATATGGGGAAACAAATGTGGTGTTTTTTTAAAAAAAAAAAAGTAGTCTTTGCTGGTGTGGAAGCTAAAGCTGATATTGTACATTTGTGTACAATCATAGCAGTGGTTGATAACACTCAAATGCAGGATCAGGAGATTTAGTTTCACTTTGTGGCATTGGCAGGGACAGGAAAGGTCTTGCAAACACTTGTTTCTGAATCGCCCTGCCACAAGGGGAGCTGACGTTGCTCTTTGGTATCCATTTACCCTTCACAGGAGACGGGTACTGAGGTGGGTGCACACCATGAAGGGGTGATGTGTTTGCTTGTGTCTGCTTCCTTCTGTGTGAGCACCAGCCTCAGGCTGACTGTGCAGAAACAGCAATTGTCTCGTTGTTGTCTTCGGCTGCTCTTGCAATTACCAGCCAGGCGTTCTTTCTCCCCACTACCCCCCATCCTAATAGGGAGTGGTTGATAGTTAGCCTTTACTAATTTAGGACTGTGGGAGGTTTGTTATCAATGAACTGCAATCAGAAAGTATCGCTCTTCCTTCAGTTAGTAGCCTCTGCAGGAATGAGGGCAGTGGGCCTCTTCCAATGCTCTCCAGAGCTAGCCACTGCCCAGTGGGATGTGATGGGCCAAGTGCCACCACCACGGTGGCCTGGAGGTGATGGAGCTGCTGGTGTGGATGGTGGTTGTGAGAATCGCAGAATCTGGGAAGTCTTACGAGCACGCAAACAACATCTTGCGTGAGGCAGTGGAAGACTACAAATGCAGTATTTTTTGAAAGATACGGTGAGGATTTCACCCAGGGTAGCGTGCGTATTGCTGACAGTGGCAGGCAATTTCTGTGGAGCTGCTTGTTGAACTTCTGGAAAGGTGTTGGTAACGGGCATCAAGTGTGGTGAGGTTGGTACAAGAGGAACAAAACCTCCCATTCAGATAAAAGCAGGGAAAGGGAAACGCTGCCACGTGTGGGACTGGTTCAGGCTAAACTGGTCTGTGCAGTAGTTTCTGCAGCTCTTCAGAAACATACTATGGGGTTGAGCTTCCCAGTTCAAACAGGTCTGTGTTCACATTTCAGTCAGGCTTTGGGAAAGCAGGAACAGCACCATTTGTGTCCCACTTCATTTGAAAAAGAAAATTAAAAAAAAAATCTTGAATGCCACTCATCTGCTGATATCGCATCCAAACTATCCCTGTATCTGGATGCAGAGAAGGGAGATGGTTTCTGTGGGGAGATGCACTGTTCAGAGGGGAAGCACTGCCTGCACCTGGGGGTGCTGCTGCTGGATCCAGAAACCACCAGAGGAGCATGTGCAGGGTGGCTTGGCATCTCTGTCCAGCCACTTTCTGTAGTACCAAAACAGTCCTGCCCAGAGAGAGTGAATCCAAGTCCCATGCTGCTGACACAGACCAGAACGCTTGGTTTATGGATCACTGAGAGGAGGTTTGAGCATTTCTGTGAAGTGGATGTGGAGTGATGGGGTGGTTAGGAGCCACTGTATTGATGGCTGAGGCAAAAAGATAGTAATCTCTTTCTCCCTGTAGCCTGGTCGTTGTTTTGGTAATGTTGTTTTGGAAACAGATTAGGTTGTGGTTTTCTACAAGTTGGCTATTAAAATAGGCCCACTAATACAAGTCCTCAGCTGGACGCAGGAAATGAGCAGGCTCATTTTTCTTTAATTCTTTTCATCCCAGATCTCCCCCAGCAAATGCCCAGTGAATTTTGACTTTTTTATGATGGTGCTTTTTCTGAAGTCAGCGTGTCATTTTTCTATGTTGTATTTCTCTCTTCCTCTCTATTATAGAAGTTGAGTGCTGCTTCTGTCCTGATAGCATTATGTGAATGTGAACACAAGTAAGGCAGTAGAGAGTTAAAAAAAAAAACCACAACAAAACCCCATTAATTAAAATATTTACATTGGAAGCTGCAAAACATTTACTCTGAGTAAAACAAACTTCCCCATTGTTCTTGTATGATTGCTGCAGTTTCTGTGAAAATAGCCAGGAAGAGGTTGTGCTCTGAGGAATTTTACTGGGTTGGCAGGGGAATAGTAGGGTAGGGATACTCAGGTGGGCTCTTGGTCAGTGGCTTTCTCTTGTTCAAATATTTGTCACATGGATAAAAGATCTATTCTTCATAGAAAAAAACCCCAAAAGAATCCAAAAAGCCTCCATAGTGGTGGAAGTATGTTGTCATATTATTCTAGTAATGCCAAAAAATAAATGATCATCATCAGAAGATAAGAAAATGATATTCACTGGATGAAAGGTTTATTTTTAGCACTTAAAGTGTACACTAATGTACACTTAAAGAAAGCAGAAAAAGAGAAGCATCTCAGAGCAGGCAGTTTGGACCCTGGCTCCCAGGCAGCCCTCCTGGCTAGGGAACACATGTGCTGCTGTCCCTGTTCTGCTGGCAGGGAAATGGCAGTGCAGTGCGGTGAAGGATGTTATCCTTCCATGGTGCTGAGCACCTGTGGTTCCCACTGGGGTCTGTTGGCATCACAGCTGCCCGGTGTCCAAGGAAAATGAAGTGAGGGTGCAAATCAGGGATGTCAGACCACTAAACCACAATGTTTTCTTTGCATCTAGTTTTGTACTTTAGGCACAGGGATACTCTTAGTAGCATCACTACAGGAAGAGTAAGCAAACACGAAAACTCTTTGCTTCAAACACTTCTATTCCTGCCATATCTTCCCCCGGATAACTGGATTGGAAAATTAAGGATTGTTTGGTGTTTTTTTAAAAATAGTGTTCTCTCATACAGTGTGCCATTTCACTCTTACACTTTCTTGCTTTTTCCAGCCTGGCACTGGACTAACAGGCTTCTAGGGCTTGTGGGCAGGACGCTGAAAAGTCTAAAAGGGTGTGTGGAGGGGTTGGTTTGTTTGGTTTTTTAGATCCTTGATCCACATTTCTCACTCTAGGCAGGCTGTTATGCCTTTCAAAGTTGCCAGATGGGAGGTCTCTCTTCTGCCCTAGTGACTTACAGACTGGCTGGATTGCAGGTCATGTATCCTTTTCTTAATCGTGCCATGGAAAAGTGTTTGTTCAAGCCTGAGTCTATCATGACTGTAAATTTTATTGACAATTCCAAGGTTGCAGTTTTGCTGTTTAGGCACGTGGTACTCTTTCCTCTGATCTAAGGTATGCCAGACTGCGTCATGTTTACCTATATTATAAAAACATTTTTTTGCAATGAAAGGTTGGTTTGTAAAGGTGTTAGGAAATTAAACGTACTTGTACAGGGTAGGCATCATTTAAACTTGTGCATGAGAGCTTTGTTCCATCCGTTTCTTGCATCCTTTACTGTATTTAACAAAAGCTGCATGCTGACAGTTTCTTGGCCTGGAGATAAAAGGTGCTGCATACCCAGGTTTGATACACTGATGGAAAATTGTCTCCACGATGTATAACACCGCTGTGATTATTCCTAGCCATTACCACTGGTCTCATTTTACAACCATTCACATTATGTAATTTGATGCTCATTTAATTTAACGAGAGGATGCTGCAGACTTATTTATGACTCGGCAGGGCAACCTGTATGCTTTGGCCACCTCTGTTATCCTTGCTGAAGGAGGAAGAGCATGTTTCTTACCGAACATGTTACAACATCTTTAATACCTTTGTATCCAGGTTTCCCAGATTGCCACAGATGGGAGGGCAACTTGCCTGGGGTATAGATTATACTGGAATGGCAGCAGAAGTTTAACTTTTTTTTTTTTCTTGAACTGCTTATTAGCCTTTTGTTGTGAGATTATCAGGAGGTATTAATGGACTTTTCCTTTTGTTACAGATGGAATTTTATGACTTGCTGGATTCTGAATAGGACGAGGAGATGCGTCTGATAAGGTAAGAGAGAGGGTAAGATAAACATGTTCCTACGCAAAACAGTCTCACCGGTTTGTTGTTTGGGTTGAAGACAGCTGTTTCTTTCCCTGACAGAACGCTGAAAATTGAGATACTTATTTTTAAGTTACATCTGCCTCTGACCTTCCACGCAGAGACCATCTCTGTTCTGTACAGCTTCTGTCCCAGTCCTTTCTCCTGTTGAACTGATGTACAAAGTCCAGAAGACAAAAATGTATGCCTTTCCAGGCGTGGGGGTTAGCAAGATAGGTCATACTTATCCTACTAATTTAGAGCTTTTTATAAAGTAACAGATGAGCTAGAATTTTTGGTCAGTTTTGAGATATTGTGCCCCCCCCCCATTTGAAAGGTAAAAAGATCTCTGAGCTGTTTTAACTTCTACGCTTTAAAACTTGTTTTTCCTGTTGCAATATTTTTGAATTCTGACTATTTTTATTAGGCTGGAGTGTATATGAATAGAAAACCTCTAGTTTTGAGTTTGAAATATTTGCTGTCACTAATGTGCTGAAGGAAGCTGTAGGTTTGCTGGTGTTTTTTTTAATAGTGTTCTTAAAAGTCAGTGTTTAGATACTTTTTTCTTTTCGGTTTCTGGTTCAGAGGCTTCCACTGGCAGAGAGGAGTAGATGTCTTTACAACTCATAGGTGTTAGAATAACCATATTCAAATAACGAACAGCCAAACACAGTAGTAGTATTACACGGGGATTGTCACTGTCTTTCAACCTACAATCTACCCTGTGACTATCCAGCTCTATCACTTACGTGTTTCATTTTGTCTCCTCTGTCTTCCTGAGCTCTGTGCTATTTACAGGCCTCAAAAATCCCTGTTGTTCTTTTTGGATGTTGGTTGGAAAATGCAGTGGAAACAGATAGATGCATGATGTCATTGTATGAGGACCAGGACTAAATTACTTCTTCCTTGGATTCAGAGATTTAGCCCTTGTAGACACTCTTGAGGGTTTGGTGGTGGTTTTTTTGTTTTGTTTTTGTTTTTTTTCCCCGTTTAAGTTTTGTTTGCCAAGTAGAGTTAACCTTTGGAGGATGGCTGCCCAAGCAAGAACTGAAAACTTTGAACGGCTCTTGGCACTGTGTGGAGTATGCAAGAATCGGACTTACTTGCTGCTTAGGTTTTTTTGCAAGTGTTAGGCACTTTGTCCATTCAAACTACCCTCTTTCATGCCATTGTTGAATTGTGTTATTGATATTTTATTTAATGGCTTACTCTCTACCTGAAGGTGGTCTTGTATGTGTACAGTTGGTAAAATACAGCTCTTCAGGTGAGAGGTCTTGCAGTCTGCAGTGCTATTACACAAAGCACCTTGCATGCATGCCTTGTTTGTTATGTAAACGAGCTTCTTCACTTGCACGTGTTTGAACTGGTCTACCTATGCTCCAAGAATGGGCAATTAAAATTGCTTTCAGGACTTCTTAGAGCATGTTCAGCCAGACCTGCGCCAGCACCCCTCTGCACGCAGGCGGTTCAGCTGCCATTGCATGCCTGCCTCTGGCATTGCTGCGGCTGGAGGCTGTGCGGTGCCCACTGTGGCGTCACCAATGGTATGTGTACGCTCTCATCGCGAAGCGGCATGGCCAGGATGGGATAGGTAGAAATGCTTGTGTTCAGGCTGGTTTGTTCTAGCAGATTCAGTTGATGAAGTGTATTTGTCCAGTGTCAGTGGAATGCTGGGGACTTGTTTGGCGTGCACATGGGACAGCACTTTAGTCATGCTCACTCAGCTGCTAGTGTTTTCCTGAGATGTTACTCCTCATGCATTAGGCATATATAGTATCCATATATTGTTTAATATTAAGTACTGTTCTGCAAAGTGGATATTGGTAAATCTGTGTGCTATAACGTGGGCAGCTCTTGTGGCACAGCAGCTGGCTGCTGTTGTACCGTCTCTTCCAGGGCAAGCTCGTTCTCCCCTTTACTCATAAAACAACCACCAGGGAGGCTCTGGTTCTAGCAAGGTCTGCAGCTTGAGGCCATGACACCTTCTCTCACCACAGCTTTATTACCAGCCCCCAGCATGTACAAATTGTGAGCCAGATCCCTAGCAATTGCATGACTGGCTTTAAAATGAGATTCTGGGGAGGAAGAAGTAGCACTTGCCACTGGCTCTTGTCTTTCACCTCTAGAAGAAAATATTCTGGCCTCGTTTTGTGTGATACTTTCTCAGGTTTGAAATTAATCCTGAGCTATGAATGTGTGTATCTTGTTCCCCTTTTCTCTGAGAGGGCTTCGTTTATCCCTTCCCCAGCAGCCTGAGCTGGAGAAATGCCACTGTCCCACTCCAGGTTCTCCTGTATTGCAAGAAGTGGCTGTCCTGGTCATGTTCCTTCTCAAGGCCACAGCTGTCAGGTGACCCTCATTCTTCCAACTATCCTTTACTACTGTGGCATCAGTGTTATTTTATTTATTTTATTTTTTTAACCTTCTGTTCTGTTTCTGCATTCCCTCTCCCCATTTACATTTGGGTTTCCCTCCCTTCCAGACAGGCATCTGGATCCTGCCCCAAACATGCCCTCCGGTCCTGTCTGTGCCTCCTGTCCTTGTTTTCCCTTGGTTGCTTACAGTTTTCATGGATATTTCCTGACCCTGTTCGTTCCCTGCTGTTATCTTCTTCTGGGGGAGTACTTCTGAAGCACTCACATGTTTCTTGCTGCCGTTGCAATTAAAGAGGTTGCTATCTTTTAGTCCCATTTAAAGCAATGAGAGATGGTCCAGTCTGTGCAGGGACTAATCTTGTGGGGTCAAATAAAAAAAATTAATAGCTTTTTTTAATATGCCTGAAGCCTAATGATGAAATTATAAGACTTCAAGCTTGCAGTGATGTTGCCAGACCTCTCCCCCAATATTTTCTTTTTCTTTCCCCATATTTCCCTGTGCCTTTATCTTACTTCCTTCCAAGGAGCCTGGGCCCCTTGTGAACTCCAAGTCAGGTTTCATATGATGTCTGCCCAATAGCTCAATCATAAATATAAAATCGTTCTATAAGGCCTAATCTATTTTCAGAGGTATGTTTATGAGATAAAAATTACTTTGATTGCTGAAATGGCATTGTGTCATTTTTGGAAGGAAATGACAAGGAAGTAACTGCTATCAGGCCTATTTTCACCCACCGTTAGCTTAGACCTGACAAATTACAGCTCCAAGGTTGCTTGCCTTAACAGTTGCAAGTTAGGTTGCTAATTAATATTGATTATATGAAAAGGAGTAGGTTGATGTATATTATTAATAGCTGTTAACGCACTTTATAAGAGCAATCTGTTTTGCAAACGTATTCTGGTTGTTCTTTTTTAATGAGTCTTGGCAGTGAAAACCCTGGTTTAACACATGCAGAACTACAGCAACTCATTGAAGTATTTGTGGTTTTTTGCGTTTTCGGTGTGTTTTTGTTGTTATTTTTTACAGGGAGTAGCGCTTGATTTGGATGAGATCAAATAGAGGCAAAGTCCAGGAATTATTTCTGTCTAAACTGGTACCTTGTGGTTTCTTCCTGTGTTAGTGCACATCAGTGCAAAACTCTTGCATCACTGCTAGTTTTAATAACTTCCTTTGACATTGCCTATGAATATTTTTGTCTCCACAGAAGCCATCTTAGGCAAACTTTCAAAATAAGAAAGCTAATTTCAATTAAACAGTAACAGGTAATTTGAGTTCCTTTTCTTGTGTTATTTAGCTGGTTTGTCACAATATGTGGAAAGTACCTGGAAAGCACAGGGAGAAAAATGGGAAATATCTCATGCATAAGGAAAAGCCTCTAGATAACAAAGTTGGGAGTGGGTGGGTGGAGAAAATATCTACGTAAATGTAGACATCAAGGTAAATGTTTTTTCCTTTTCTTTTTCTTCCAGAAAATTTGAATATTTGCACGATCTGATGTTGCAAGTTGTAAATGCTTAACACTTCTAAAAGAATAAATTACTTCAGTGCCTGAATGTGTAGATAACTGTCAGCTTCAAAGGATCAAGTGAGTTGGAAGGAATGTCTGGAGAACTCGGTATAGGCAGGTACCAGGCAGAATATAGAAAGCAGGGGAATACATTCAGCTATATAACAGAGGCCTAGATGTAAGTTTATATATAAATTAAGACTAATCATGTTACGAAAAGCAAATTTCTGTGGTTCTGCTTTTAATGTAAAAGTGGCAACACACTTCCCCCTCCCCGTCTCTGTCACACTGGGTTTCCCAAGCTGCTTGTTATAAGAATTGTGCTGCTTCTATAAAAATTGAGATGGAAAATTAACCTATTTAATACTTTCAAACTACCCTTACAAAAAAGGCCACCTTTCGCTGTGAAATATCCTTGTTGTGAGCTGGTTCTGTAAGAAGTAAGTAGTTTTTGAGAGAAACTGAAATCAGTACTGTAAAATGCACATTAAAGCTATAGGGCTAAGATGGAAAGAGCCATTTCAGCTTTTGCTTGAGGGTCGAACTGATCTGAAGTTCGCCTTGGAGTATGTAAAGCGCAAACAAAGTTGGGTGTAGTTTAGTGTTGCAGTCTCTGGGATGCATGTTGCCTGTCTTTCACCCCACCCCACTCAGTGAGCCAATGCAAGGTCCTAAACCTGGTGAAACTACTAGCTCTGACTTCTCCTTAGGGTTATTCTTCTGACCCAAGTTCCCTGGGCTCCAACAGGCACGCAGGCACAGGGGGAGCCTTTAGGGCAGACCCTGGGGGTTGCAGCTGGCCCTTTGGGGTAGGCACCTGCCAGAGCAGGTCTGCAGGGTGACATGGGCATCACTGCTGCTGCTCATCACTGAGCCCACCACCCTGGCTGGACGCACCCTTCTTTCTTTCTTTCTTCTCTGATGTTGGTGGCGTGACTGGAGCTTGGAGGCATCATGTGGGGAGCAGGTGACCCTCTACATGGCGAGTGCGCAGGGTACCAGTTCTGTGGCTGCGGGGGGGCCACCAATTTCAGTGCTTGAAAATATCACTGGCAGTCAGGAACTTCTAACTGCAGCTCTGCTAATG